TGAAAACCTTCAAACAGAGGGTTTACACCTTATATATAAAAGGCTACCTCCCATCACCCAGCACACTTCACATCTTGAACTAGTCTAATGCACAATAGTGTTTTGGTGTGCCTTGTGAAGTTTCAACTTCAAAAGTGCACAACTGACAGATTTATAGACAGGGTCATTATGCAATATGGGCATTTTTTAAAAAATGAAGCAACCAAAAGTAGCTGTTAGTTAATACTAATTTCAAGTGCATCAGCACTTATACTTAAACCGTCATGGAGATATCATCAGGTCACGGAAAGAAGGTGGTAATATTAAATGATAATCATTTACAGTGTCTACATTGCAGTTCTCGAACAACACAGATTTACTAGACCAAGACTTGTATGAATGCACCATGTCAAATAGCACTACAGTGCCAAAGAATGGTCATTCTACATCAAGGAAGCTTTTTGTACAAACTGCTAACTACACCTGTGTAGAAAAAAAGTCCAGTTTCTATAATAGTTATAGGTTCTGCTATTCTCTGGTCTTAAATATGAATAACCAACCACCTGTCCACATACATATGACATTACCACATTGTTGAGACGTCTCAAAGTACTTCACAGGGTATACTGTAAGTGGGTTGTCTGTGTTTTTTGTGATGAAATTTGGCAGCCAGTTTGCACACATCAACGTCACCCAGACAGTCATGGAGTGAGTGACCAATTTTATTTTGGGGATTGTTGGTCAGAACACCAGGAGAAACTCCCTTCTCTTTTCGAATAGTGCCATGGGTTCTTTAACATCTATCTGAACAGACAGATGGGACCACAGTTTAAGCTTCACCCGAAGGGTGAAGGGCGGGACCTCCATAACACAACACTTCCCAGCTTTGGACTGTGTAATTCTAAGACCTGAAGTGTGAGCCCACAACACCACCACCAACATTACATTGGTATAGCGCCTTTCACGTCGGGAGGACGTCCCGAGGCGCTGGACAGACAGAGTTATGGACCCGAACTGGGGGTCGGGGTGCGGGAGGACAGGGGGGGGAAGCAGGGAGATCGAAAGCCGGTCGAAGAGGAGTGTCTTGAGATGGGTCTTGAAGGTGGCAAGGGAGGGGGCGAGACAGAGGGAATGTGGGATGGAGTTCCAGAGGGTGGGGCGAGCAAGGTGGGGGATGTGAAGCAGGCCAGAGCCCGCTGAGCGGAAGGAGCGAACAGGATGGTAGGGGGTTAGGAGGTCAGAGAGGTAGGGGGGAGCAAGACCGTGGAGTTAGACTTGACTGTGGAGTCATAACCTTATGACTCAGAGGCAAAAGTGCCATCACTGCTCCAGGCTGACAGACCAACCATCTGTCCACACACACACACACATATGCTACAATAAAGAGTACAATGGCCAATATTTAGATTTATATTTTATATATATTTTTATTATAAAGAGACAACTTAACCCACTTTACCCACCCACTGAAGTTCCTAGATTTTCAGTTAACATAGTGTTGTTGAAATAAACATCAGTATCAGAGCTTTGTGCTATGGGAACAACAGAATCTAGAGGACATTTAGGATACAAAAAATGCGACATTACTGGTGACGCATTCCAAAGAAAGGCAAAATACGTAATTGCTTTGTTGCTATGACAAAAAATATTTATATATAAAGTACATTTCAGTTGTAAGCAAAGCTGCATAAAGCATTCTCAAGAAATACAAAATTCCAATATAATTTTTTTAAATTAAAATTTCTTGCACTCTCTAAAGGGATCATTTAGTTTTCTGATCAGTGTCAAATATATTGGCTGCCTTAAGGTCCCCTAAATACCTAAGAGGTAAATACAATAACATTTACATGGTACCTTTCATGTCGGAAGGATGTCTCAAAGCGCTTCACTTAGGATGGGTTTTGAAAGCAGAGGGATTCCGGGATGGAGTTCTGGATGGAGGGAGCAGATCAAATTGGTTGAAGACATGACTATCAATAGTAGTGGGGGCAGGGGACTTTATGCAGACCAGTCCTAGCAGAGTACTAGTACTATGGTGGGGTGAAGCCATGAAGATATTTGAAAGTGAGGATAAGAATACTGATAACAGAAACTGTTAAGACTGTGGGGAGTCAGTAGAGCGAAACAAGAATGAGAGTGAAGAACTTGCAGAACCTGTTTCTGGGAGGGGAGAGCACTGCAGAATTCTGGATGATCTGCAGTGTTTACGTAGGGAGGTTCAGGACACCAGGAGAAAATACCATAAACAAGAATAAAATCAGATAAGCAAGATTTAACCATATTATGCAACAACCAGACCTGTGTAAAACAAAGCCTCTTTAATCCTGAATTACGAATATGGCATAGGTTGGGCTTGAATAAAAAAAAGCTTCCTTTTTGAATATTTTAATGGGAATTTTATACCCACCTAAAAACGGGAAATTGAACATTCATTCAGCATCTCACTCAAAGGGCATTTTCAAATAGTAGAACTATGAATATGGTCAAAACACGTCATGGAACACATCAAGATAATGTGTTTGGGTTGTTAGAGTTGTCAAATTGTTTACTAGTCTTTTGCAGCCATGCATTGAGATGGTGGAGCATAGATCTCAATATTAAATCCAAGCCATGGATAAACATCCAATTTCAAAAGCTAAGTATACGTAGCTTTAAAAAAACATTCCTTCCTTCTACAAACTACATGCTTTTAAGCCAAAAGTTTTGACCCCCTCCTTGCAACAGTGAAGGATGTGCAGTGCAGTAGTTATACCAGAAGAAGAAGGATAACTTGGTAAGATTACAGATGCAATTCACTATTCAAGGTTGAGCTTCACAGAAAATTATTCTATAGACACAAACACTATAAAGTCTGCTGAATGAATACAGTACCCCATATGAACATTCTGACTAACCAATCCCACCACTCAATGATATCACAAAAACACTCAATGACATTGACTTTAGGAACACCACCTAATGCACAGAATTAACATTTTAAATGTGTTTATATGTTTCAAATGAAATAACTATTTAACCCTGAATTATCACATCACAACAATGATGTCAAAATATAGCAGCACAAAACAATTAAAAAACTAGAATGAGTAATTTTAAGTGAAGAGAATAGTAATTAGCCAAAAATAAATAGTCCAAAAGATGTATTGCTGAGAATAACAATACAGTAAGCACCGTTCCTCACAGCTCACAATCTAAAAGACGAAACCCTTCAGAACACTAATATTTCTTGAATGTACTTTTGGTGACAATTTTTATGAAAGCCAAGGAGAAAAATAGCCTTCAGTTGTACAGAGGCTAACGGCTGGCTACTGGTCAATTTTAAGCCAAAAATCCAATTAAGGGGTTTAAACTGTGATCTTAAGTCAACATCCTTTTGAAATCAATGACAGCCATCCAATATTATCTGTATGAAACATCAGACGCAAACATTTTAAGAGAAATATCAGCTTAACTACAGTAGTTTGTGCTGTCTGCTGGACACAGGTTAGCAACGAAAATAATCTTTGAGCAGTGGTACCAGGTTATTTCAGGAAGTGACTAACTATGGTGGATTCCATGTAGTGAGGAGTAGGGTAGATGCATTCTTGCACATTTCAAGCTAATTAAAAGTACAGTAATTCAGAATGGTATGTGATGCTGTTGAATATTAGGCAACAGCTGAAATCCTCATGGGATATATTATTTTCGACAATTTTTAAAATATGATATACTGCAATAACCTGCAAGTCAGACCAACGGATACAGCACAACTCTCACTGCACTGAAATGAGCAATCCTGATATAAAAAAGATGGTTTTAAAATACTGTAAAATAAAAATAAATCAAGGCTATACTTCCTCCATATTTTACGCTTATAATAGTCACCTTCCTCTAAATGGTAAACAGCTATGACCTGCTTGTGTGCTGGCTTTTCAATCCAGTTGAAGATCCATAAAATCCTATGGATATTGAACACATCCTATGGTGATTTTTTTAAAAAAAGTCACTGCAACCTATTGAATCTATTCACACAAAATAAAATAAACATTGTATATATCACGGCAGTTGTGTTCAGTTTACACAAATGGTCAGGGTTGGTTACCGAATCCCCAAATGACAAGAAGCAAAAAACCTGCAGCCTCCCCTCCCTCACCTCAGCCTCCCCTCCCCCCTCACCTCAGCCTCCCCTCCCCCCCTCCCTCAGCCTCACCTCCCCCCTCCCCTCAGCCTCCCCTCCCCCCTCACCTCAGCCTCCCCTCCCCCCTCACCTCAGCCTCCCCTCCCCTCCCCCCTCACCTCAGCCTCCCCTCCCTCCTCAGCCTCCCCTCCCTCAGCCTCCCCTCCCTCACCTCAGCCTCCCCTCCCTCACCTCAGCCTCCCCTCCCCCCTCCTTCAGCCTCCCCTCCCCCTCCCTCAGCCTCCCTCACCTCAGCCTCCCCCCTCCCTCAGCCTCCCCTCCCTCACCTCAGCCTCCCCTCCCCCCTCCCTCAGCCTCCCCTCCCTCACCTCAGCCTCCCCTCCCCTCCCCCCTTCAGGCTCCCCTCCCTCACCTCAGCCTCCCCTCCCTCACCTCAGCCTCCCCTCACCCCTCAGCCTCCCCTCCCTCACCTCAGCCTCCCCTCACCCCTCAGCCTCCCCTCTCCCACCTCAGCCTCCCCTCCCTCACCTCAGCCTCCCCTCACCCCTCAGCCTCCCCTCCCTCACCTCAGCCTCCCCTCCCCCTCCTTCAGCCTCCCCTCACCCCTCAGCCTCCCCTCCCTCACCTCAGCCTCCCCTCCCTCACCTCAGCCTCCCCTCCCACCTCAGCCTCCCCTCCCTCACCTCAGCCTCCCCTCCCCCCTCCCTTCAGCCTCCCCTCACCCCTCAGCCTCCCCTCCCTCACCTCAGCCTCCCCTCCCCCCTCCCTCAGCCTCCCCTCCCTCACCTCAGCCTCACCTCCCCCTCAGCCTCCCCTCCCCCCTCAGCCTCCCCTCCCTCACCTCAGCCTCACCTCCCCCTCCCCACCTCCCCCTCCCTCAGCCTCCCCCCGGCCCCGGCCTCACCTCCGTAGTGCCTGTGCACGGCATGGCAGGCGGAGAGGATGATGACGGCGCCGAGCGCCAGCAGCTTGGCGTTGCTGAGGTTGAAGTGCTGGTTGATCTCCCGCTTGCCCATGGCGTAGGCCTGCGCCGCCATCTTGCCTCCTCCATGACAACTGAGCGAGAGCCGCCGCCAGGCCCCGAGCAGCCGCCCCCGGCCCAGCCCCGCCGGGGAGGAGCCGGGCCCCCACTGGCACATGGTGAGTGAGGCGGGGCCAAGGCCTGAGTCGCAGAGACAGGGAGTGTGTGAGAGGGTCAGAGAGAGAGAGAGAGAGAGTGTGAGAGGGTCAGAGAGAGAGTGAGTGTGAGAGAGAGAGAGAGTGTGAGAGGGTCAGAGAGAGAGAGAGAGAGTGAGAGGGTCAGAGAGAGAGAGTGAGAGGGTCAGAGAGAGAGTGAGTGTGAGAGAGTGAGAGGGTCAGAGAGAGAGAGGGTGTGTGTGAGAGAGAGAGAGTGTGAGAGGGTCAGAGAGAGAGTGAGTGTGAGAGGGTCAGAGAGAGAGTGAGTGTGAGAGGGTCAGAGAGAGAGTGAGTGTGAGAGGGTCAGAGAGAGAGAGTGTGTGTGAGAGAGAGTGTGAGAGGGTCAGAGAGAGAGTGAGTGTGTGTGAGAGAGAGAGAGTGTGAGAGGGTCAGAGAGAGAGTGAGTGTGTGTGAGAGAGAGAGAGTGTGAGAGGGTCAGAGAGAGAGTGAGTGTGAGAGGGTCAGAGAGAGAGAGAGAGAGTGTGAGAGAGAGAGAGTGTGAGAGGGTCAGAGAGAGAGAGTGTGAGAGGGTCAGAGAGAGAGTGAGTGTGAGAGGGTCAGAGAGAGAGAGAGAGTGTGTGAGAGAGAGAGAGTGTGAGAGGGTCAGAGAGAGTGAGTGTGAGAGGGTCAGAGAGAGAGAGTGTGTGAGAGAGAGAGAGTGAGAGACGGAGAGAGAGAGTGAGTGTGTGTGAGAGAGAGTGTGAGAGGGTCAGAGAGAGAGTGTGAGAGGGTCAGAGAGAGAGTGTGAGAGGGTCAGAGAGAGAGTGTGAGAGGGTCAGAGAGAGAGTGTGAGAGGGTCAGAGAGAGAGAGTGAGAGGGTCAGAGAGAGAGTGTGAGAGGGTCAGAGAGAGAGAGTGAGAGGGTCAGAGAGAGAGAGAGTGTGAGAGGGTCAGAGAGAGAGAGAGAGGGTCAGAGAGAGAGAGAGTGTGTGAGGGTCAGAGAGAGAGTGTGAGAGGGTCAGAGAGAGAGTGTGAGAGGGTCAGAGAGAGAGAGAGAGAGTGTGTGAGGGTCAGAGAGAGAGTGTGAGAGGGTCAGAGAGAGAGAGTGAGAGGGTCAGAGAGAGAGAGAGTGTGAGAGGGTCAGAGAGAGAGAGAGAGAGTGTGTGAGGGTCAGAGAGAGAGTGAGAGGGTCAGAGAGAGAGAGTGAGAGGGTCAGAGAGAGAGAGAGAGTGTGAGAGGGTCAGAGAGAGAGAGAGTGTGAGAGGGTCAGAGAGAGAGTGTGAGAGGGTCAGAGAGAGAGAGAGAGAGAGTGTGTGAGGGTCAGAGAGAGAGTGTGAGAGGGTCAGAGAGAGAGTGAGAGGGTCAGAGAGAGAGAGTGAGAGGGTCAGAGAGAGAGAGAGTGTGAGAGGGTCAGAGAGAGAGAGTGTGAGAGGGTCAGAGAGAGAGTGTGAGAGGGTCAGAGAGAGAGAGAGAGAGTGTGTGTGTGAGAGAGAGAGAGAGTGTGAGAGGGTCAGAGAGAGAGAGAGTGTGAGAGGGTCAGAGAGAGAGTGTGAGAGGGTCAGAGAGAGAGAGTGTGAGAGGGTCAGAGAGAGAGAGAGAGAGAGTGTGAGGGTCAGAGAGAGAGTGTGAGAGGGTCAGAGAGAGAGAGTGAGAGGGTCAGAGAGAGAGAGAGTGAGGGTCAGAGAGAGAGAGAGTGTGTGTGAGAGAGAGAGAGTGTGAGAGGGTCAGAGAGAGAGAGTGTGAGAGGGTCGGAGAGAGAGAGAGTGTGTGTGAGGGTCAGAGAGAGTGTGAGAGGGTCAGAGAGAGAGTGTGAGAGGGTCAGAGAGAGAGAGAGAGACCAGGTCACAGAGAGAGAGACTGGACAAATAGTGGGACACATGTCATGGAACATTTTCAATTGTAAGCTGTGCAGTTTTATCTGATTAAACCAGTTAAACTCTTGCCACCCTACGCCTAGTACTGGCTCCCACTCCGTGATGTCATCCGCAGGCATGAGTTACCTTCCATATGTATGCGCTCACTATCTCTGCCTCCATCCTTGATTCCCGCACCACTGCTGTTCTGACTGATTGCCTGTCAGACATCAAGCTACAACAACAACAACACCACCAACTTGCATTTATATAGCGCCCTCCAGGCCCGGCGGCGTAACAATGGTGGAGCCTAAGGCCAAGACGGGAAGGGGAAGGTTACCAAAGGCACTGTCGAAAAGGAAGGTCTTCAGGCGTGACCTGAAGATGGGGAAGGAGGGGGCTAGGCGAAAGGGTCGTGGGAGGGACTTCCAAAGTTTCGGGGCTTCGTGGCTGAAGGCATAGCCGTCGATGGTGGAATGGAGAATTCAGGGATGTGGAGGAGGCTCGAACCAGTAGAGCGGGGGGTGGGGAGAGAGGAGGTTAGAGAGATAGGGGGCTGCCAAGGAATGGAGGCATTTAAACACTAGAGTGAGGATCTTGAAGTCGATCCGCTCTGTGACAGGGAGCCAGTGGAGTTTGGCGAGGACTGGAGTAATCGGGGTATGAAGTTTGGTGCGAGTGAGAATGCAGGAGGCGGAATTTTGAATGAACTAGATTTTGTAATAGTGGAGGAGGGGAGACCGACGAGGAGGGCATTAGAGGCTTTGCAGAGTCCTGGATGAGAGTCATCTTTCTCCAGTCGAATGTCAATAAGACGGAGACTCCTGCTTGATTCCCGTCAGTGCCTTCTCATCCAAAGTGCTGACAGCATCAATCTACATGGATGCATTCTCTAACTCGATCGAAGATAAGGGTTTTGAGATGGGTCTTGAAGGAGGTAAGGGAGGGAGCAAGGTGGAGGGACTGCGGGATGGAGTTCCAGAGGGTGGGGGCAGAGTGGCAGAAGGCCCGGCAGCCAATAGTGGGGTGAATCAGGTGGGGAATTTGAAGCAGGCCGGAGCCTGGTGAGCGGAGGGAGTGAGCAGGTTGGTAGGGTGTTAGGAGGTCGCAGAGGTAGGGGGGAGCAAGACCATGGACGGCTTTGAAGGTGAGGACCAGGATCTTGAACTGAATCCTCTGTGTGATGGGAAGCCAGCGGAGTCAGGCGAGGATGGGGGTGATAGGGTCACGGAGCCTGTGCAGAAGAGTACATGGGCTGCAGAGTTCTAGATGATCTGCAGCCTATGGAGGGAGGAGTTGTGGAGTTCGTCAAGCAATGAGTTTGCATAGTCAAACCTCAATGTAATGAAAGCATATATGAGGGTTTCAGCGGCCTGCGGTGTGAGACAGTGGTGGAGGCGGGCGGTGTTGCGGAGGTGAGGGAAGGCAGAGCGGATCATGGCACAGATTTGGGGTAGAAAGAATAATTGAGGGTCAAACAAGATGCCAAAGTTCTGGACTGGCTTAGCAAAGTGGAATATGCAACGGTGTCAGCGCTTGAGGTGAGGAGGCGCTGATGGGAGCCAATCAGGAGAGCCTCAGCCTTGTTCATGTTCAACTGAAGAAAGTTAGCTCTCATCCAGGACAGACATTCTATCAGGACAGCAGTGGAGGCAGAGAGGAATAATTGGGTGTCATCCGCATACATGTGGAAGTTGACCCCATATCTGCGGATGATGTCACCAAGAGGGAGCATATAGATGTTGAAGAGGAAGGGACCAAGGAAAGAGCCCTGAGGATCGTCACACAAGATGGTGGAGGGGCTAGAGGGAAACCATTTGTGGAGGTGAAGTGGAGGCGGTGTGAGAGGTACGATTTGAACCAGTCAAGGACAGAGCCATGAAGGTTGAGGTGAGAGGAGAGACGGTGGATGAGGATAGAGAAGTCGACGGTGTCGAAGGCAGCGGAGAGGTCAAGGAGAAAGAGGAGGTAGAGGGAACCCTGGTCGCAGATGAACAGAATGTCATTTGTCACTTTGACCAGGGCTGTTTCTGTGCTGTGGGCGGCACGGAAACCCGATTGGAGGCGTTCGTGAAGGGAGTGGTGAGAGAGGAAGGAGCGATGCTGGGAAGCAACAACTCGTTCCAGGACCTTGGAGAGGAAAGGGAGGTTGGAGATGGGGCAGTAGTTTGGGAGTAGAGGTGGGTCCAGGGAAGGTTTTTTAAGTAATCCAGGGAGAGGAAAGAGTGAAGCTGGTAAGCAACGACTCGTTCAGTACCTTGAGGAGGAATGGCAGATGGGACAGTAGTTAGGGAAAAGGAATAGGTTGAGGGCAGGTGTTTGGCTGCAGATACACAGTTACTACACTTCCCAATAAAATCCTAGAAATACTTGGTGAGGCATCTTGATAATCTGATAAAGCATGATATCAAAATGCAAGGATTATTATCATTGTTAATAATAAAATTCCACTATGGGTGCACATCAGTTAGGCTAGCGGCAATGTATATCAAATATTCTGATATAACTCAGACACCCGATGAACATTATGGAGAGGGTGATTCGCAGCTTGTCTAACTGTTGAGAGTGTGAGAGTATTTCAGCAGTAAATTTAAAGATTGCCAAAGTAATCTCATTGGACTAAGAGAAAAAAGACTGACACAGGACTATCACAATCGTTCAATGAGGAAACAGCCATAGAACTAAAAGAGGCAGAATTAGACTGGATTAGTTAATGTACTTAGTTAGATGGTTAGTGTTTGAGACTGGGTGAAATAGGATTTAGACCATTTGGAAACATTGTAGATGTAAGATTTAAAAAAGAATGGTGGAGTAAATGTTAAAAATCTGCAACAAACAGAAAGCTTTGAAAATATGTTTTTGTCATTTAACTGTGGGTGTGACTGAGCGTAAGTGTTGCTGGTTCAATTACAGCAGACAATAGCTGAGCTATTACACTTCTGAATAGGGACATTACCGATGCAGTAAAATATTTGGAAACCGCATCCTGCAATTAGACAAAGGCAAAGAAGACAACTCTTGGACTACTCTGATAGATTTTGTTTGCTGGACAAGCAGCGGGAAAGCTTGTCAGACAATGCTTTCAATGGCAAGCTGTGCGGTTTTAGCTGGTTAGTCTCCAGTAGTACCCCAACTCACACTCTGGGGACCCGAAGCCTTGGCTCTTGCCAACCTGCGCCTAATACT